ACATTGTATTAGGTATTGTAAGTAATCTAGAGATGATTTAAAGTATATGGCTGGATGCCCATAGGTTGTATGCAAACACACCACACACACACAATTATATGTGTGTGTATACACATACGCACCACACACAATCAACCTATTAGTCCATTTTAATACACATAAATCTTTAAGTGGATGGGACTTTTCTCATTTCCTTCTTGCATTTCTCAGAATGCTCATTGTCATTTGCATCTTAATTTCCTCCTCAAAGTTGTCTTGATATTCACCCTTTAAACATATTTCTCTGGGCCAGCCCGGTGGCATAGTGGTTAAGTTCACACATTCCACTTTGGTGGCCTGGAGTTTGCGGGTTTGGATCCTGGGTGCAGATAGACGCACCATTCATCAAACCATGCTGTGGTGGTGTCCCACATACAAAATAGAGGAAGGTTGGCACAGATGTTAGCTCAGTGACAATCTTCCTCAAGCAAAAGAGGAAGATTGGCAACAAATGTTAGCTCAGCCACAATCTTCCTCACCAAAAAAACCCACAAGAAACAAAAACCAAATTTCTCAAGTATAAAGATACTTAGGAGTGGAGGCTAGTGGTGTCATATAAGTTATTTTGCTGGCTGGACACTCTCTATTGGGACACCTATCACTATCGGGGTTGGCTGTTTTAATCCCTATCCAATGTGGGAGGAAGCTAAAAAGAGGAATCTGTTCTCTGAGTTCTGAATGTTGCCTCTCTGCTCAGACCTCCTGGAGACATTATCTCCATCAAGGTGAGAATTCTGATAGGTAAGAGGTGCCCTTCTCTCTGGATTCTCATCAAAGGCAGAGCTAGGAGCTCCTTACTTCTCTGTTGTTCAGAATATGTACAAAGGGGTGTTTTTCCTGAGGGTCCTGTGTCAGAGGACCCTCTGTCAATTTTCTTAGAGTGTACAAAGGGTCATTTTTATTGGTTCTCATTGCCATAAATCTAAAGTGCAACCTAGTGAAAGCAGTTCTACAGAGGAAGGAATTAAATAGAGAATTTCTGAGAGTGTTACTGTTTCTGTCTCCCTCCCTCTTCTTTGTGAAATGTCCTTTTCAGCAACAAAAGTGAAACCATGGGTGGGATAGCCTTCAGTTTTTTCTTGGCATTTATAAAGTTGGGCTGCTTTGTGTGAAGGTCAGGCGGCCTTCTATTCAGGCATTTATTCTTGTCCGGCTTCTCAGCTTTCATAAGAGGCTATCAATCCAAGGTTAAGCTTTGCTCTCTTCCTAGGGCTTGTCAGAGCCTAAGACTCCAAACTCATTCCTTCTCCTGCCCAGTTCAGGGAGTCTTATTTGAGGAGAACCTTATGAAGAATACGTTTTTGTCTTTTTCTCTAGATTCTCGAAAATCTCTCTCTGATTCAGTAACACCAGTGAGCTGTTACTAGATCACGATGCTGGTAAAACTATTTTAAACCAACAACATTTTTCATTTGTTGGATACTATTTGTTTATCTAATTCGAGATATATCAATAAGAGCAAAAGGAGTCTACTTATCCCACCAGTTGTATCAATATCAACAAGAATAAAGTTCTGAATGACATCCTGGGAACTCTGCAATCTAGTATGTTCTCAGGATTCTCTCCTTTTGAGTGAATCTTTGACTTAATTTGTGGCTTGCATTTCTAAGTCCATCAAGTGAACTTCAGTTAAGGCAAATAACCTTATGGGAACGAATTAGGAATTTAACCAAAAGCGTTTCTGTTATGTAACTCATATGAAACCCAAGGTTCTACATGGCCCTGTATGGTTATGGAATCTTATTCATTGAAACTGTAACATGGTATAACACCTATAATTGTAGAAATGCAAATCTTTAAGTCTTTTGAAAAAAATGCTAAAAGGGAAGTTTATTCTTTGTGCATAGTAAACTCCCCAATCTTCCTTTCTGTCTCAACTTCCCACACTCTTGAAGGAAACAACAATGGCAGCAACAGTCTCTCTCCACTCTCATCCTCTCTCTGCTTCCTCAAACCTCCCCCTCCCAGCTGTGAGGCTCTTCTTCTCTCTCTTTCCCATATAGTCCCTTCCCCATCACACTGCTCCCCATTCTTCTTCTCAATAACGGGCCCCTGGCTACAGGAAGTTTCAACACCTGACTTTCCCTTTGGGCACAGCCACCTGGAATGTGTAGTTCTTTCTTAGTGCCCATGCCTTTTCCGAAAATAAAGGCACTCTGGAATTCTGGAATAGAATTTTGCCTGTGGAATACTTTGCGTGTCCAACCTGCATGTTGGCTTCTGGGGTGTGCAACTGTGCAGTTACACAGGGCTGTGCACTCAAAGGTGCCTGGTGCTTGATTTAAGGCTCTGCTGTTGCCATCTTGAAATTCTTAATAATTATAAACAAAGGGCTCTGCATTTTTCACTGTGCATGACAAATTATGTAGCTGGCCCTGCTGGCATGGCAGGATGCCTGGATTCTGATGTGTTTGAATAGTGAGTTACCACTATTAAATAGTGTTTATGAGCTAGGAAAGGAGCTGGGTTGAAATTTCACCAGGTTCAAGGGAACGGAGGGAGGCAGGAATTTCCCCATGTCTCTTCATAGCCCTTTCCCCACAGGTCGCCTGTGGTCGCTGTATGGTGCTACAGTGCTAGAAGACGGAAGTTTCTTTCTCCTCACTCTGTGTCCGATGATGAGCACTTAGACTTTTACCAAGAATTATTAGGATGTGAGTAACTTGGGGGACTTCAAATGAAATAATTTTGAGTAGAAAATGCCAATAAATATCAATTCAAGATGTATATTGACTTCATTTTGAAGTCATTACCAACTTCCATTTCAAATACTAATTGAGAGAAGCAGATTAAAACAGAAGTGAATCTCCCAGGGAGATGAATCCCAAATAGTTTTGTAGATGCCCGATCTTCAGGAAGCTGAAGCTGAACTCCTCACTCAAGTGTGGGCCATATATAGTGACTTCCTTCCAAAGAGGACAATATGGAAGGAGCGGGAAAAAAAGGTTAACCTGACAGTGAAGAAAACTGACAGACTCTACCTCAGTCAGGTGGTCGACACCAAGAGTGATAAGGCACGTTGATAGTCACATCCTTGATATGTTTCAATGAGAATGGCACCTTATCTCTGTGGTCTTCTTCCCAAACACCCACAAGCCCAGTGTAACCAGGAGACAAACATCAGACAAACCCCACTTAAGGAACATTCTACAAAACACCTGACCAGTACTCCTCCAAACCATCAAAACAAGGAAACTGTCATCAAAAACAAGGACTGGGAGACACTGTCACAGTCCAGAGGAACCTAAAGAGATATGACAAGCAAATGCAATGTGATACCCTGGATGGGATCCTGGAACAGAAAAAGGATATGAGGTGAAAGGTAAAGATATCTAAAAATGTTAATAATAATGTATCATATTGGTTCATTAATTGTGACAGATGTAGGGAAAACTGCGTATGTGGTGTATAAGAACTCTCTGTACTATCTCCACAATTTTTCTCTACATCTGAAACTATTCTAAAACAAAATTTATTTTAAAAAACCGTTTTACCATAGACGTAGTCATAGTAAATTACTGGAAAGCTCTCTTGATTGAATTGTTTCTGCTGAGAAACAGAAAGACATGCTTGGTGAACGTTTCATGACCAATTTCATGATGATTGCCTTCTATGAAATGGAAAAGACCATGCTGCCCAGTAATAAACCTTCTGTCTCCAGCATGCGCTCACTTCGGATTGGAGGCAGGGAGCCAGAGGCAGTTGGAATGAGCAGATGGTGTCTGATGACCAGACAGTGACTTCAAGTCCCTGGAGCACCCAGCTCCCTCCTACGTGTCTACCCTTCCTGATCGAGGGCTGAAGGAACCAGTGGATTGTAATTCATTGTGTTCCAAATGAGTTAACAGGTGACAGATATCGGTGAGTATATTTCATCACATTAATTTTAATGTATTCTACATGTCTGATGTGAAGGACTCAAAATGACCTCCCCATGTTCCTAATTAGTGCTCTCAGTATAACTTCTTTATCATTTCTTCGACCTGGTTTATGTTTCCAATTTTAGCAAATATTGCGATTTATAATTTTTGCATATATAATTGGGGAATTGAACAAGGAGATATCTATGTGGAATCATCACAAGTAAAATATTCCATTGAGGTAATATTGTGTTATGAAAGGTTTCATGGGACTTTCTTAAAGACTTGGGAACCACAAATCTGTCACAGATGCATAGGTGCACATCTTACTGGTTGAACAGTGATTGAAAGATCTACGCAAAATACAAGATGAGGAATCTGTCCATGTTATTAACATCAAAATGTAAAATTAACTGTAGGCGTAAATCAGTAATCTCAATTCTGAAAACAATTCAAAGATTGTATTTTTTATCTGATATTTAAACATTATTTTAAAAGTTTTCCAGTGACATCTTAACTCATGCATTGTTATCCTCGGATTTTTTCCCCAAATGTTGGAAATTGATTTTCAACATGTTTCTTGTGGTTGAAAGAACACACGTTCTAAAACCCTGAATTTGGTTATAAAAATCAGCAAAAATGCATAGTCTGGTGGTAATTCAACTCTTAGAAAACTCGCCTAATGTTTTCCATTTTTTCCTCTTCGTAATAACAATAAAGCATAAACATGGAGAAAATTCTCAAAGGATATATACCTCAAGAGCTTGATGGTGATTACATGTGAGTTATGTGGTTAAAGATTATTTTAGCTTTATTTTTATACCCCTTTCCTTAATGTTATCTTAATATGTTTTTACCCTGAACATATTCTACTTCAATAATTGGAAAAACAGCACTGGTTCCATAAATCATAAACCATATCACAACTACAATTTGTTCTGTTAAACATTTACTAGTCACTCTATTTACAGTAAGGTATACTGTGAAATTGTTAGTTTAGTTATAATAAGGTATGTTATATTACTGATACAATAATTATTATTACTATGATATGGTACAACCTTATTAATTCTGAATCTGATAATTTCCATGTTAGCAAGATTTTCTTTGCCTTATTTTTAATCAAAGAGGGATTTTCTAAGAAATCTGATAGAATTCCCAAGCTTATCAGAAGATATTAATATAGTCGAGAGAATATTGGGCTTGTGTAAATCCTTAATAATCCTTATTTGCATACAACTATTTTACATACATTTATTTTGTGTACTGAAGAGTAAGCCAAAATATTCTCCCACATCTCATTTCTCATAGAGTGCTTATGACTAAGGAAATGTTACAGATTATTTGCTGATTTTGAATATATTGCAACTGAAGAATAAAAGGTCAGACTGCTCTTATGTTTAGGCCAGGGGATGATTTTTAGGTTTCCAGAAAATTCCCCTTGCCTCCAATGTTATCCTCCACCTCTGTTTGATACCTAGGATTTCTTTTCTATGTGATAGTTGCCTTTCATCTAGGACTAGAACTGTGGTTCCAGATATAAATATCTCAGGGACAGGATCACATTGAATTAATCATATTAAAGTAGAACTTACTGATGGAAGATTTTCCGAGACTCGTATTTGCTTGTTGGCATCTTGGTTATTTGGGTCGGGAGTGTAATAGCGGGGAGCTGAAGTAGATGAGTAGGAAACACAGTAGGAAAAACACAATTAGGAAGAAATACAAAGGAAAATTAGCAATTAGCATAAAGAACAAACGTAGGTTTTTGCACTCATTTACTTGAGCCTACTTGACGGACTTGTGTAAGAATTCAAAGCAACTTCTAAATAAAGGTGGTGGAGTAAATGCATGTTTATTCATTCCTCCTTAAGCCCACCCCAAATAACACATAATGGAAAGTATGGTAGTCTTCTCCAAAATGACATTTCGGTCAACAATGGATCTCATATATAACAGCAGTCCCATAAGATTTGTACCATAGATGCTAGGGGTGCAGTGGGCTCTACCATCTAGATGTGTGTAAGTGCTCTATGATGTTTGCATAACAATGAAATTGCCTAATGACACGTTTGTCAGAACATGTCATAGTCAAGCGACGCATGACTGTCGTAGAAAAATACCATCCTCAATGAAATAAAGCAATGGCCATAACCCAAACTCACATTCTCTTTGAAGTCTATCTTCCAAATAATGTGAAATCTACCCTAAAACAGGGGAAGCCACTCAGGGCCACACATGTACCCTCAGATCTTGAGGAGAAGACAGAATTAAGTTCAGCAGCCACGATGGCCCTATCAAAGGGCCTCTGATTAGATGTTGGAGCTTTAGGATCACTGTCGCTGTTTGGAAGAATTGGAAGTATCCCTCTAGGTACCACAAAATTTCAGGGGAGGTGGAGCGGAAGGGGAATACACTCCAGTAACAACATTTCTACTTGACTATGACCCAACCACCTAGCATATAGAGAATGACGGGTGAAGGGAGAATAGTCCGGAACAGGTAGGCGTGTCATCTCAAAGATGTTACCGGCTCCTAGATGGTCAAAACTGAGGAAACGTACTCCTAGAGCAAAGGAAGGAAAGTGAAGGAAGATGTACTAACAGTGTCTAATTTGATGAGAAGTTTGGAACAACCAAGTCCAGGAAGAGCTGCAGATTCTTCCAGTTTCATTCCCCTCTCCATAACACAGGAGCAGTCAGCATAGGACCTATGCACAGGCACTGGGCGGAAACATACAAAGGAAAGAAACATAAGCAAAAGTTGGAGGAAAGAAGAAGTATGACTAAAAAGAAGCCTTACTCATTTAAAAAGTGTAAGGAAAATTCAGAAAAATGGCATTTCATAGCCTCAGAGTAGTCACAGGCAACATGATTTATTACCTTATTTCTTTTAAAGTAAAGCTCAAAGAAGAGACTCAAGGATTCAAAGGAGAGATTATAAGACAACACCCGGAGACAAAAAGCAAGCTGGCTGTGCACAGAGAAGCCAAAGAAGCATAAAGGAAAAAAGACTCGAGAGATAAAAAAGCACAGTAGAAACAATGGAAAATAAAACAAGTATAACTGAAACCTTTCCTCTTGGCCTCTCAATGCAAACTTAAAAAAAGAATGAAGACATAAAAATCATGATGGGGAATATATGGTTATATGACACAAAGATCCAACATATGAACAGAACAGTGGACCTGACAAAATATGTTGAAAGATATAGTAGGAGGAAATTTCCTGGAATAAATTTGTTAAAATGCAGATTGAAAGTGCACAGTGTCTGGGAGAAAAATAATTGGAATAAATTCAGGAATAAAGAATTATACAGGCATGCAGGCTGAAAAGTAAATCACCCCTCAAAAAAAGAGAAAATATCAGATTGATTTCAGAATTCTCCCCAACTACATTCACTGCTGGAAAACAGTAAGTTAATATTAAAAAAAAAAACAAACTCTGACAGTGGGGGTGGGGGAGGGGAGAGAGGAAAGTGTAACCGCGTACTTTCTATGAGCCAAGCTTTCACACAAGTAGAAAGGCAAGGACAGATTCTCAAGCATGAAAGAATTCAGGATTCAGGGACTATAACACCAAAGAGCTCTTGAAAAAGAATACTACTCATAGATGAGTTCCAGTCAAAAGAGTGACATCAAAGTAAGTTACTCAGGAACGGAACAGATAAACAGTGGGGATGAGCATTCACTGCTTTTAAACAGAGCCTTAGGTTTAAATCACTCTGGGAATCACACTTATAAAACAGAATTTATGTGCAACAAATAATAATATATAATAAACATAAAATCAAGATAGGGAGTGAGAGTAACAAAGCATATTTATTCCCTCTTCGTTCATGACAGGGAGTCCATTGATATATACTAAAATAACAAACATATGCTCACCTCTTAATGATGTCATGACCTCCTTTTTACTTAAATTTCGGAGACACTTTTAGGAACCATTCCTATCTCTCATGATGAAGAAAGATGTGCCTGCATTTTAACAATTCCATAGTTTTACTGTAATTCATTTTGATTCTGTTAAATTCAAGTACAGTTAAATGTAATAATCCATAAAGTAAAAATAAAAGGGATAGTTTGATGTGAATTTCTGATCAGTCTTTCTGCCCTTTTACAGGGGGCTGAGAAATGTAGTGGCTAATGGCATAGACTCTGGAGACAGGGTTCAAATCCTGAGTCCATCCCTTACCATGTACATCTCCTTATGCAAGTGCGTTACCTTCTTGTGTTTCAGTTTCTTCGTTAGAAAAGTGAGGATAAAGATAATATTCACTTTGTAGAATTTTTCAAAAGATAAAAATGTCCAAGTGCTATATAATATCTGGCATATTGTATGTGTGAAATATGTTATTTTTATGTACTGTTTTATCCTTGTTTCTTTTAGTTTAGCTAACATGTATTTGGAAAATAGCATCATTATTCATAAAAAATAAATATTTTGAATCCAGTGAGAGGCGAAACTAGGACACAACCAAATTTCCTGGCACATAGTCTTCTGCTCTATTTATTGAACTATGTCATCATGACCCTTCAAGAAAACCTTCTCCAAGATTTATTGACATATAACAGTTCAATATGGTTGAGAAGTTAAAAATCCATCGGTTCCATAAATATTTCTTTTGATCAATTACATTTTCTCCATCCATCTGTATGTTTGGGAATTTGATGGAAAACCAGTGCCGAGTTTGGACTAGTTTACCCTCGTATTTGATATTTCATTTTATATTCTCTTCCTCTTGTCACCCACTGAGCTGGTCCCAGGGTATTTCAAATATGAGAAGTAAACTTGTAGACAACAAAGTTAATATGAACATTAACTACATTACGGGATGTTTGAAAAGAAAATAATTGAAAAATAACTTAAAAGCCATTTATAGTTGAGGTATTGCTTTTTATAAAATGACACTTTGAGATTAATTCTAATGTTGAGAAACTTCCATTTCTCTAAACAGCACAATGTCAGATTCCCAGACCTTTATTACTACTGGCATTTCAAGAGCCGTTCTTAAAATTAATGTGGTACCATCATTCTGCTGCTAATTAGATATGAGACAACCCAAAAGTGTCTGCCATCTGTAGATACCTGCCCATCTCATGGGAAATTCTACAACGAGTAATTGGTGCAACTTGGAACAGTATATTCATATGGGCTAATAGTATAAATAAATGATGTTATGCAGATGTAAGCTCACTAGCCTGAGGAAACTATGAAGTCCAGAAATAAACTGAAATTTGAATGAACATACCAAAGCATAGAACTTAAAGTTCCATCCTCTTCAACTCTGCATGCTCTCAAGCAAAAAGGGCTTGGCTTCATTGATATCCTTCATCATACTGAACTACACTGCACTGTACTTCAGTGATATACTTCATTGATATACTCCATTGCCAAAGTTGAAGAGGCACGGTTAGTGAAAGGGGAGGTTGTGACAGAAGAAAAGAATATGAAACAAATAAATAAGAGAAACAGTTCAAGGTATTAAAACTGCGTCTAACTTATCTTTTCTACTTTCTCCACCTTGATAGAAATTTAGGTGGGAAAGTCATAACCCAATGTACATAAGGACATCTCTGCTTTAGAGGGAAATAGAAAATAATGGAGAATGGTGGCCTTGAGCGAAACAGTGGAAGGTCCATATAAGAAAACAAAATCTTAGGCATTTGAGCCTTTCACAGAAGGTGTTTAGATTCTGAGCTGGCTTTATTATTTCTTAAAAATTTCAAAGGGATAAACTTATTTTTATTTTTTGGCACCCTTCAAACTTGATTTCCCCCATCCAATGGGCATCAAGACTAATATTTTCTGGTATCATTTCTAAGAAGGCTATAAGTATTCAGAAAATAGCCAATGTTCATTGAACTTGGCATAGTTCGTCAACTGTTGAATCATCCTCTGCCTAGATCTGGAGGTTGTAACTTCTCTCAGACAGTCTGGAAATGTCTATACTTAGTTTTCCATTAGGTAGCATCCTCTAATATCTTTCATGCCCATATGGTATATTAACAACAAAATAAACCAGCCACCATCTCCGTGGAAACAAGCACAGATGTTTTGAAATATGCCTACAAAAACTACCCACGAATGAACAACCCTATATTTCTCTAATTAATTCAAATATTTTGCTGTCAGCTCTTTCTCTTTGAAGCCACAGATTGTTTTTCATTCTGAGATTCACTTTCTTCCTAATAATAGAAACAGATATGTCCCTTTGGCCTCACTGTCTCAAGATTCAGAAATAAGATTCCTCTTGAAAATCCCAGGCTATGGAGTAATTCATCTGTAATCACCATTTGGTGCCTTTTATTCTCTCAATAAAGGTCGCGTCATAGTCACATGAATGTCATCACTCCTCTGTTGCTGTATCAAGCATTTTCTTCTGGAAGCATTTCTCTTGGATGGGCCAAAATAGATATTTCCATTTAATAAGTTCAGAATCTTACACAGTTCCATTCTATCAATTATGCAAACACCACCTAATATTTGTCTTACATTCATTCAATATGCATCTTTTCTTCCAAATACTACTGTGAACCATAAGACCACAGACCTTTTTTTCCTTTTCATTCTATTGTTCATGTGGATAGAGTGTCTGAAATCTGACATGAGAGATTTTACCTGCCTGGATTCTAGCTTGGGAATGGATTACATTTTTTTCTGTCAACTCTTAGCCTGTGCTAAAGTAATATCAGTAAAACCATAAGACAAGTAGACTGAAGCTTAACACTGAAAGAAACCTCCATATGGATTTGTTTGATGGCATAAAACAATCATTTTAGAGAGAGTGTGGCTTTATTAATAACCTATTAGAAATATTAATACACATTATTATTTTTTAAAAAATTTACTGATAAAATTCACATGAACTTGAGTCCCCTAGAAGTCACATGCATGAGGAGGTAAGAGGCTTGAAGACAATGCAGCTTAATGCAACAGGTGAGGATGAAGCTTCATGATAAGTATGCTATTCTGTTTGCCAAGTGGTAGCTCTCTGGAGAACTCAGCAGTGGGAAGAGAAGCTACTCACACTCACGTGATAAGAAAAGCCCACTGCCTCCTCTTGGCCCCTAGATGAGCTGAGACAAAAAATTAGAGAAGATAAAATCCTTACTATATCTCCCCTTTGTGGCTCATTTCTGTGCTATGGAAAGCAAAACAAAACTGAAAAACAGATGACACAATTCCAGGCTTCATGGATTTTATCATGTGGTTGGGAAGTTGAAATCTAATCACATGAACCAGTCTCATAAGACTTTTAAAGCCTTGTATCAACAAACACTGAATTTGACTATTAGTGATGCTCAAGTGAGATTAGAGAAGCTTGTTATAAATTATAGCTCATTAATTATATAATTCTTAACATTTTTAGACTTTAGTATTATAATAACTAAATTCTTCTTCCTAGATGAAAGTTCATAGTTCTTAAGGCAATCTCATAGCTCAAATTGTTATTTCAATAGAAGAAATCTTATTTTCAAAGTGTGTAAACAATAGTTTCAGTTTGGGTGGGACAAAATGCTGATGTGTATTTATGGATTTTACTAATGTATCTTGTGTATAACTCAGAAACCAGAGTCAGTGTTATTTAGGAAAGATGAGACAATACATTCTTTATGGAAATTTTACCTCAGAATTTCAATGCTGTCATGATCAAGGAATCCACAAGTTTCTGTCTTCTGGGACATCTGGAACTACAAGTCATGCCTCTGGATTTGATTTCTTAACAAATGTCTGAAAATTGCAAAAGTCGTTGTATGACAATCTCCCCAAATTCCTAAATATCTCAGCCCCCAAATTTCTATGTACTAACACTACACTGAATCAATGGCAAATGAAGCAGACCCTGGGAATTCTATGAGATTAGGCAATGATGGAAAATTTCTGTTAGAATTTTAATCTTTTGAACTCTTCTTATTTATAGAGGAAAGGATACACATCATGTTTAATTTCAAAAAGACCATTTTACAATGAAGATACAATTCATAATTAATAGTTGACACTAAACTTATTCTATATAGTCACATGGTCTATCGAGAAGTCGACAATCACCATTCCTCCTGGGTTTGGGCACATGATTGAGAAGAGAAAAATGGATCATCACTACCCAATAACCTACGGGTAGGTGGAAAGCAGTGCAACGATTGACATGAGAAAGGAAGCTGAATAAGGTTGCCTGGGTGAAAGAACTTGACAAATTGGGTTTCTCAGAAGAGAGAAAGTTCATCTAGTGTGGCCAGTGTGATCTGTTATGGTGGTGGGAGTGTGGGAGATCATAATGGGCGATGCTCATTTTTGATCCTGAATATCAGTCAAGAAGCTGGGATCTAGAGGGCTGTGGGATCCCTCAAAGAAACTCATGGCATACAGTTGCACTAATTGAGGTGGGTGTAGTCCACCAGACCAAACAGAAGGTTTTGGACCTTCAGGAACAGAGTCTGAAGACACTACTGATTCATAATGCCAACCACAAAGAATGATTACTGGAATGGACACTATTAGAGGCTACAGGATCACCTCACTGGTGTGGGAATGGAAGGGTACTCAGTAACAACCTACCACATCTTAGGCTCAATAAGAAACTTGAGTTCTGAGGAGTTTAAATGCCCAGCTGCTTCTCCTCTTGCCTGTATTCTCCAGTCTATTCATGGAAGCAAGAGCGAGTCATTTAAAACCTAAGACATATCTGGTTACTCCTCTGCTCAAAACCTGCAATGATTCCTTTTTCACTCAGATTGAACATCAAAGTCTTCACAGTTGCTCCAAAGCCTCACATGATCTGGCTGCTGTCTCTGTGGACAGTGATGACAAAATGGAGTAACATATGCCAAGGCTTCTAAAACGGAGTTGGAAGGCCATTAAGGAAATGGGGCTCCTGCACTCACTCTTTACCTAGATGAAATGTAACTTTTGAACTGTGATTCACTGTTTTCAACTTGACCTTCTTTCAAGAAATATGCTTACACTCCTAGATAAGAACTTTTTGCCTTAGAGATGGCCTTAGCAACAAATCACAGGTAGCCAAGAAGTAACAGCTGTTGCCAGCACCAACCACGTGTCTTGCAAAACAACCTGTGTGATTTCTCTCTTCGCCTTTATAAACTGTTGCCTTCTTTGTCTTTTTGGAGCACATTTTGGGTTTCTGCCTGAATCTGCATCTCCTGAATTGCCACGCTAATTGCCTAAATCAGTATCTGCTGTTAAACTGTAGTGGCGTTTTCGTTGGTTGACATCTCTTCTCAGACTATCTCCTCCTGCCAACTCATCCTGTGTCTGCCACTCCTGATGTTTCCTTGAATTATGATGCAGAACCTTTGCAAAGTCTTGTCTCTGCCTAGACTGCTTTTCTCCCAGATGTTTGTTGGCTATATCTGTCAGCTTCTGTGTCTCTGCCCAAAGGGCACCTTCCCAATCATGTCTAACCTACTCTCCTTTTTAAAATTGCAACCTGTGTGTTCTTTTCCCCTTCCTGCCATTACCTACTCTGGTTTTTCTTTTATCCTCCAGCTTCTACCATCTTCTTACAAACCATGGAATTCACATATTATGTCTCTTGTCACTCTCTCCTCACCTAGAATGTAAGTTCCATGAAGATAGAAATATGTTTTGTTTAGTGATGCATCTCCAGTACCTAAGGCATAATGACAAAAGTAACATAAGCTAAAGTTGAATGAATGAATGAATAAATGAAATAGGTAAATGAATGAACTGGCTGATGATTACACCATAGTAAGAGACGGAGATAGGATTTGTGTGTAAGTTGCTTTCCCCTCTTCGCTCATTAGATGTGGACTGAGCTATGCCATGCGTGCTGGGGAGAAAAAAGAGCCACTGCCTAAGCCACTTCTGCTGCCCCTGAACACAACATTGGCTACACCACGGCCTTGAACTCTAGACTGTTAGATTAAAAGTGCAGCAATTTAAAGAATGAGACCTTTGTTTCTGTTACAGAGAAGAGTTTAGTCCCCCAGTGGATCACTTGTAGTCCTGCTCTTTAGCAGCATAAATTGTACTCGAGCCTTATCAATCAGAGGAACTTCTCCCCTGCAACTCCATGAGCTAATTACATTAGTTCAAGATGCAATCATAAAACTGTCATCAACTGAAAAATCCAAGCTGCTATGCTGTGAATGCTTTCCTTCCAGCGTCTGCTGTTAGCTGTGACAGCCTCCATGTTCTCGGGCGGTGATAGTGAGGGTGCCGGGGTGGGCAGTGGACTTAATTAAATCATTAACCTTCATCACCAGTTCTTTTTAAACTAGGAAAAAAACACACCCACGATGTAATTTGGTATTAATATGAAATATGGGTCTTTTAAGTCTTTCTCCTATTCCATTTTTAGAACACAGACATAATTATCATGCCTAGCTGAGCATGCTCTAGAAGGTGAAGTAAATGATGGTACTGGAAGGCATGCATAATTGGGATTAAGCCCTCTGAGGAACGTGATGATGATTTTTATAATTCTGCCCAAATGTGAGTCTTTCTTTACTGAGCCAGCGAGCCCAGACTTGCATGGCATAAATGAGATTACTGGGTCATGGCAGCCCAGGCTCCCTTGCCAATAACATTTAAGCCACTTAAGTCCTTTGGAGACACTTTAGCCAAGGTCATCACTAGAGATGAACTTTCACCTAGCAGGGAGGTCTAGAGCTTGGATGAAAGAGTGGAAAACAAAATGAATGGGTACCAATCACAGCAGCCCTGCTGAGTTCAGACCATGTAACAGGCAAGGGCTTCCAGCCAGAATCCTTCTACCTATTAACAAAGAGGCCTTCAGCATCAGCTTTTCTCCATCTCCTTTCCAAATAAGGATTCCAGGACTCCATGCTGAAGGTGGTTCCTTTTTCAGTAGGGTCTGGTATATGTTTCTGGTCCCAATAATACTGGGAAAATGTGTTAAATGAAACAGAGAAGGACTTTTCCTGTCTTCAAACCCTGTTGACAGCAAGAATTGTTATCCCTTACAGTTTCATTTTGATGAAGGTTTTGAAGGAAGGAGTCTTTCTTTCTCATGTACTCATCTTTAGGGCTGGAGTTGGAAGGCAGAAAGGAAATCAACATGTTATGGCAATTAGTCCTAACAAGAACCTGGCAAGGCCTATATGGGTATTTTTAAATACATTGAAGAGCAAAGGGTTCACAGACTAGTTAGGGAAACTGATCCTGAGTCACACAGTTAGAAAGGACAGACTAGGAAGCTGGCCTTGCCCTCATCTCCAGGTCCACCTCTCTAATTTTTATTATTGGGGAGAACCCAAGGAGGCCTAAAATTATTCCTTAGATATAATTGTATGCCCCTTTCATCCTTGATTTGGTTTTCATAGAGACATGTGTAAGGCATAAGTCAGAGAAGTGTTGCAGTGCCAAGTGCTAAGCGAGAGTCTCTAACTTACAAGCTAATTACAAATATACTGAGCAGATTCCTCTGCCATAGGAACACTTGTGCAGAAAATCTGTGGTTTTTTTACATCTGTGGAATCAGAAGAGAGGAAACTATGCAAAGGTGAGAGTAGTTGACAATAAAACTAGAAGGAAGGGCTGGCTGGCCTGTCCGCCTACACTGCACATTGCATAAAGCGTTGCTCAAACTGATGGATTTCTCAGTTCAATTCTTCCAGCCTCTGAAGTTTCATGAAATGGAGATTCACTTAGATAAGTAAAAATCCACGCTGGAGGATGCAAGCACCTTCAAGTGTTTTAATGGGCTATCAGTCACTGACCCATTGCAAATTAATTTTAGGAGATTGCTTCCAATGCCCTATGTGAGTTCATCTGCATTGGGGGAATCATAGTCAGGTTTGGACGGAGAAAGATTCAAAGCATGAACCCCATTGAGTTTAAGCAGAACTAAGTGGAATAAGTGTTCTCAACCACAGGAAGGTTCTGCATGCCCTGTAGTGGTGGAGATGCACAATGCCAATAGGAGATCTGAGGTCAGAAGAGAGAGTCAATGCACATTTGGCCTAGCGATGGTCAATGGTCTGGCGCAAGAAAAAGGTCTGTTCCAAAGGAGGCAAGAAGATGCACGTCTTTGGGCCCTTCATGGAGCAGTCCTGTCCACGCTTTGGGAAGATGACCCCAACAACCCCTGATATCTGGCACTGGTCCAGGCTGCCCTCTTGCCCGACCACCCAGCCTTCTACTCCTTTGTTATACTGTGTTCACTTTGCTGTCTCTAACGTCAGTCTTGTGCCTTCACGTTCAGGCCCCTGAAGCTCACCTCCTTGTTTCAAAGTTCACATAAAGTTTCTTCTCTGGCTTAAGGATCTTGGCCTGATCTTCTCAGGTCTTGAATTTGCATATCCCCTTGATTGCAGCACATTTACTGGGCTGGGAGACACTCCTGAGGCAAACTCTGGGATCTTTTTTCCCCCACCCTCCATGCCATTAGGACTTACCATTTCCCAACACCCAACTAGGTCCCAGCCTTCCCCACGTAAGGGTAGAAAACCCATCTCCCTACCCTGTAAGTTTTCTTCCCTCCTGCTTCCCTTTCTTCTTGCAGTGCTTGCCATGTTGCTTCTTTGTCTGGTTCCATAAGTGCATTTCAGGCTTGAATTGACTTTTGTGGCTCATGTGGGAACCAAGTGTCTGTGTATAATAATGTTTCTATGGGAAACTGTGCTCTGAATAGAAATAACTGACTTAGAAATAATTCATCTAACACAATTTGATTGTAAGTTGAAGATTATCTCTATTAGTTTCCTAGGGCTGCTGTGACAAATTCCCACAAACTGGGTGGCTTAAACGACAAAAATTTATTTTCTCATAGTTCTAGAGGTGTTGGTAGGACACGTTCCTTTGGAAGGCTATGAAGAAAGTATCTATTCCAGGCCTCTCTCCTTAAGTTGCAGATGCCTGCTGTCCTATTCACATGGCATTTTCCTTGTGTGCATGTCTGTATGTCCGAATGTCCCTTTTTTATAAGGGCTCCAGTCATATTGGATTTGGGCCACCCTAATCACTTCACTTTAACTTGGTTACCTCTGTAAAGACCCTATCTCCAAATAAGGTTACATTCTGAATGTACAGTGAGTTAGATTTCCAAAGAGGACACAGTGCAACCCATAACATGATCTCTTGATGATATGGATGTCTTCACTAAAAAAATCATGTAGTTATTGATAAAAGAGCACAGCAATCTGTGGATGACCTTAACGATAAGCTGCCCCCTTAACGATCAATCAGAGTTTCTCTTTAGGACAAAGATAGATACAACTCTGCATTCTTGGAGAAGCAAAGACTGGGTAAGTACCATAAATAAATATCTACAAATTTGCACCATTTTAATAGGATGGCTTCTTCATCTTATTTAAGATTCTCTTATTACGGGATACTTTTAGAATATTTTCCAAAGTCTGAAAGGGGACAGGAAAATGCCTTTTACCTTAGTATCTCTCAACCTGGCTGCACACTGGAATCACCTGAGGGAGAGTTTAATAAAACATGGATGCCCAGAGATTTGAGGTAACTGGTCTGTGCTGGGGTCCAAGCATCAGTATTTGTTTAGAAGCTCTCCAGGTGATTTTACTGTGCAGCCAGCATTGAGAACCACTGCTTTCACTTAAGATCACCTAATGTTGAGCATTAGTTATTAAGTAGAGGATCAAAAATGTTGTTTTTAATCCACTCCCAAGAGGTGAACATAAAAAGTGAAACACATTTGCCAAGGGAGGAAATATCACTGTCTCTGCAGCTTAGGTATGAGGAAAGGGTCGGTGCTCTCAGAATGCGAGAGGTGGCACCAAGCGCTAACAAATTATAACAGAGGGTGTTGGGGCAGATGTGCTTTTGATTGGACTGCGTTTTCTAATCATCGGGTGGAAATTGTGTTCAACAGACTGTGTCTGACTATATCAGAGGGTGGAGGAGCGCGTGGAAGGAATATGTGAGATGCCTGCCTCTAGGAAAGGGAGGAAAGCATGAGAGTTAAATTCAATACCTGGGATAAATGTGAACGGAGGTGAAACTACAAAACAAAAACATATATAGTTACTAAAGGCTTTACATGGACCAAACAATGCCCTGGGCCCTGGGGATATAAAAATGATTGAGGCACCGGACATGTTGTTAGGGAGCCCACCCATTACTGATGGATGGACAACTATACAATGTAACATAAGGCAGAAGAAAAGGTAACATCTGGAGATATACAGAGAGAGGTGAAGGAATGATTAGAATGCCAAGGGACAAAAAGTACAGAGAAGAGGTTTCTGAGCCAGATACACCCGTGTTTTTAGGCTGCCAGTTTCAGCCACTTAGTATATAGGCGGCCTTAATTAAGGCAGGAAACCTCTGCCTGAACCTCAGTTTTCACACGGGGATAGGGAAACCAAGCTCAATGTATCTTTGTAAGGATTAGTAATAATGGACGTGATATGCCTACTACAGTTAATGGGTACACTGGAAATGGTAGCTTTTGGGTGAACACAGGAAAAGGAGACTATAAAGTGAGCGTGACAATGTAATTTATCACCCAAATTGGGACATTTTTGAGTATAAAAGGAGCTGCTTTAGTAATTATGCTATTATAATAATTTAATAATTATTTAATAACAGGCTAAACTTGGAAGGTCCTGGGCAACCAGGACATGTGGTCAATCTATAAATGATACAGATAAAAATCGCTGCCGGGTGTCATTGATTAGGGATTAAGGACACAGGAGTTTGAATTAGACTGCCTGGATTCAAATCCTGTGTACAGCACTCAGGAGCTGTGTAACCGTGAGTTACTTCATTAGCCAATCTTAATCTCAGTTCCCTCAGTTACAAAATGGGGATAATAACAGTGCCTATTTCATAAATAAGTATGCACATTAAATGTTTAATATTTGTGATGTCCTGAAGATCAGTCTATAGCACATAATAAGTACTCAGGAAGCTTTAGTCAATGCTATTACTACCAGGAATGGTGAAAGATTTACAATCAGACATAAGAGAAGCAGAGGAAAATGGAAGTCAATTATTGCAAAAGAAGTGAAGGACTCAATTCACCAGATGTGGAAACTAGGAGAGCAATGATGGCTTTTGAGAGAAGAATATACCAGCGTCATGGTATCAAAAGACTGATTGTAAACATTTGCAGAACAAGTGAGCAGGAAAGAAATGAAATCTTTGCCTGTAGACCAGTCTTCCTAACAGCTTGGCAGTGAAACATAGAACCAGATGATTAGAAACTGGAGGGGAGAGCAGAATTGAGGAAGGAGAATGAGATCTCTTGGGCTTTCTTGGAGACCAAGAGGAAAGTATTAATGGAAGGTGTGGGCTGGAAGTACAGAGGATGGGAGGGTAATTAATGATCAAAGTTCTTGAGGCGGGGATAGAATCAAGGTCAGCTAGGTGGTATCCAACCTTAGAAAGATGGGGAGAAACTGCCCTTATGTGTATTTGCTATGCTTTCTGTTATTGGAATGAGTAAACAAAGAATGGGAGAGGACACAGAGAAGTGTTCATACGGAAGCCCACCTTCTCGCATGGGTTCCTGATCCTCTGCTGCTCTCCTTGGGGGTGGGGTGGTGTTCTTCCATAACCCCTTCTAGACTGTCTTCACTCTCTCCCCCTACAGAGGAAATTTAATAGAATCTATTGAATTTTCTGTCACCTAAATAGATATACATAAATGAGTAATAAAAAGAAATAAACTCCTTTGATTCTGTATCTTATAGCTATCATCAATCACTCTCTTCTTATCTAAGCTTTTGGAAAATTAATCTAAATTTGACTTACCACTTGGCCATCTCCCGTTTGTTCCTAAGACTAATGCCCCGTGGCTTCTGCCCCTTTCTACTGGTCCATGTTTTGGGGAGTTATTTTTGATGGGCCTACCAATGACTTTGAGAGTGAATGGAAGAAGAAGTGAATTGAGAAGTGAATGGAAGTTTTTCCATGTCTATATTACTAAAGCCTCCAGCAGCATGGGCCCCCAACCTCTTTAATGATCTTTCCCACTATATTCTCTTGGTTCTGCTTCTACGTCCCTGACAGCTGCTTCCTTCTTATTCATAGGCTCTCTTATTTTAACCATGTTGCTATTCCTCAGAGTTCTGCCTTCAGCTCATTCTAATTCTAATTCTAATTCTAATTCTAATTCTAATTAATTCTCTACAGATCCCTGGATGATGTCATCCACTCTAATATTTTCAATTTCTTCCCTATTAAGTTAATGATTCTCAAATCTCTAAGTGTATCCAGAGTTTCAAACTCTTATACACAACATCTTGCTTAAGGAAGACTCTGGGATTTCATACAAGTACCTGAAATGAAATGGAGCTCATCAACAAATCACTCCTTGCCTCTCCACATCCCCACAAACTCTGCTTAGTAAAAGTCTGAGTACAGGTTCTGAGGTCAGAGTGCCCCAATGTGAATTCCAGCTCCATCTTTCCCCAGCTGTGTGAACTTATGCAAGCTATTTAACATTTCGGTGCCTCTCAGTTTTCTTCTGAAAATAAAAATAATAAATTTTACCCTCTTTGAGATGTCATGAGGATTAAAGGGAAAAAAATGAAATTCGTGTTGAAAAATGCCTGGTATGGAAGTGCTCAATTAATGATAGCTATTATTGCTCTTTCAGTATTACTCTCTCTTTTTGTGGGCACTATTGCCTACCGACTAACTCAAGCTAGAAACCTGGTAGAATGTTTCTGATTCTCCCTTCCTCACTCTCTGTATCTAATCAATGACCCACCTCCATTGACTTTGCCATCTAAGCATTTCTTAAATTTGTACTCTCTTTTCATCTGTGATACTAGTCCCTTAACTTAGACCCGCATGAAATATTTCCTGGATTACTGACACAGTCTCCCAAAGGGCCTCCTGGGTCCCAGATGTGTCTCCCTCAAATCCATTTTAAACCCAGCCTCCAGAGTGGCTGACTTATAAGCCAAATATGACACCATCACACTCCAGTTTGAAACACTTACATAGCTCTCATGTCTATCTACCCAAGTAAGTTAGACCCTCAGCGTGATGTGTGAACTGGGAGTTTGACGCCAAACCCCTGAAGTATATGCAGGAGTGTCAAGGAGTCCTTGACATAAATAAAACATATAGGCTGAAAAGAGACTGATTCAGCTGGAACTTCCAAAGGAAAGACATGGATGGTTGATGTGGAGTGTGGAGAGTAACAACCTCTTCTTTCCTCATACTCTTCCTCCAAATGTCCTGCCCCCTAACTCACACAATTATGTGCAAATGTACACACGTACACACGCACACACATCCACATACTACATGAAATAGGAGCAGTGGAAGATGATCACTCTCCACTGACAGCACAAGCACGAGTAGTGGTGTCATGGGGGAGGGGAGACAGGTTTTGACTAAGAAACAAGAGACCCCCAAAAAGGTTAAAACAAAACAACAAAAAAAATTGGAAATATAGAAAAGTTCACACTAGAAATAAGAAGAGATGGTTGACTGAAGTCATTAGAAAAAGTAATGATTGTAATTTTTTGGCCTCAGGAGAACATTTAAATAGAAGATATACATATATCTTACATATATTAAATGTATTATATATAATATAAAAAAGAAATCTAGGGAAAAATGATAGAGATGATTTTCAAATAGAGTTTGCAAACACAGGAATAAGTTGTTTAATCATTGATTTAAAATGTTATCTGAACAGGGTAAGACTTGACTTAAGACACCCTAATGTAGATCAAGAGAACATGTTGGAGTCTGGGATAGGAGAGGGGGAGAAGAAGTTGGCTGACAGTTTTTTTTTTTTCTGCTTTATTCCCCAAAACCCCTCCTGTACACAGTTGTATATCTTAGTTGCACGTCCTTCTAGTTGTGGGATATGGGACGCTGCCTCAACGTGGCCTGATGAGCGGTACCAAGTCTGCGCCCAGGATCCCAACCCTGGGCCGCTGCAGCGGAGCGCGCGAACTTAACCACTCGGCCATGGAGCCGGCCCCTGGCTGACAGTTTTAATTGGATAATTAATGAGAAACTAAAACAAGACAGTCCCAAGATTCATGCTATGACAGCAGTGCAATGTCTGATTTGAAAAACCCTTATTTCAGTCAGGTTCCAGTTGCAGGTTTCGGATTCTCAGATGCTGTTAGGGGGTCTAGGGTAGAAGCTGAGGACACAGAGAGCACTGTCAAATACTGCCAGAGCTATAAGTCAAGCTCAAAATTGAGAACACATCATGTTGGCGTGTGAATGGCAGTGGGATGAGACCACAATAGCAGAGGTTAGGACTGTGTAGGAAACCAGACAAACAGAAAATGTCAAGGGGAGCGCAGAGGTCTAGGCAATGGGTGGCCATGTTCAGGGAGGTCGGTAAGAGGCAGCGAAGAGGGAGAGGTGTTGCCTGTGACTCAGGAGGTCAGGAGGCTGGTAGAGTTGATGAAGCAAATAGAGTGAATGAAGTTCTGATTCTAGGACCATGGTACTTTGCTATTTTTTCCTATTTACTCTGCTTTCTATCTCTGTGAAGCAGACCTGTGGGTATTCATCCCAGCGAGAAGGTAATCAAAGGCCTGCCAATGAACACTGTCTTGATGAAAACAAAAGGAGGAAATGACCTCATGTAAAATTAATTAAGGGTAGTGTAAGGTGCTTTTGGCTACAAATAACAATGAGCCTAGAGACAACTGGTTACAGAATTAGTTTGCTCAGTAATATAACAAAATCATCAAGGAGCCAGTTCCTTTCCATATTTCCACTCTGCGACCTGTGCCACATTGGCCATCATTGTCTGGCTTGCTCCTCACAGTCACAAAACACCCTACCCTTAGACAACTGTCCACACACAACCTCACCAAGGGCAGGACAACATTGGAACCTCTTATTACAACAACTTTCTGTAATATTGAATAAAAACTTTCCCAGAAGACTTTGAGCAGAGTTTCCCCTACATCTTGTTGGCCAGGATTTTTATCACATGCCTATTCCTTTACCGATTATTGGTAAAGGGCATAGAATAACCATGATTGGACTATACTAACTACCAATCACCAACTGGAGTTATGGAGTAAGTCCCTTGAACACGTGAGAGGGGAAGGTGGGACTGGAAGTAGAAAGGAATAACCATCACATTGGCTGTGCCTGTCTTTGGAGTTTTTCACTGTCATTTAAAATTGCAACATTAGGGAAGACAATCATATCTGAATTAAACTTCTCAGAATAACTACTCTCCCTCGTTATTGTAAGGTTTGACTCCCATGTTATTTGCTATTTCATTCAGGTAGGGATTGGGGAGAATTCGCCTGGCCTGCACTGCTGTCCTCATGGGACGTTGCAGCAAAGGACTGGGGGAGAAGAAGATCATTGGCCTCTGCCTCCATTGCTAAAATACGTCACCAGTCTTTTCTCAATTGCAAAAGCAGAGACTCAAAGTGAATGCACGTCCAGACATATCTCTGCAAACCAAGGCTGGAAATGTGCTCAACTGCAACTATCAGATGGGCCCACTTAGGAGGAAAGACAGTTCAGGCAGGGTGAGATGATTGCGAGATAATTGCAAAATGTAGAGCCAAGAATTCTTCATTCATATAAACAAATTTAAGCAGATTAGCTTGAACAGAGTCAAATGTCTAAGGATGGCCTACAGTAAAATTTTAATTTTTTGAATTGCTTGAACAATGGCATTACATTTTTAGTAATCTCAAAATTAATGGGGAAAAAACTGTAACTTAGTTATAATAAACTTCTCAACTGTCCCGGACTTGAGAAATATATGATAGTGGGAGTTATTAAAACCGATGCGATTTAAAGTTTGCCATGTATAAGTGTCTGGTATTGTTGATGCAGATATTAAGCTGTTTTTTGGTTCCAGGACATATCCTAGGAATTTGGTGGTAGGGTGTAGGGGGAGTGGGAGTAGGGAAGTGTGTCTTTCTACTAAATTAAATACAAGAATACCCCACCCAAACCCACAAAGCCTTGATTGGTTAATTAATAGTGTTGATTAGTTGAATTCTACTTGTTTGAAATTTGACTATAGAGTGTTCTTTCTATTTTCCACTCCATCCATCATTCCACTCTCTTCCAACAGAATGAACTCACTGTCTTGGGTCCATTTGGATCTCAAGGCACACAGAGATGGCCCAGGCACTTCTTTTGGTTTTACAGCTTGCATTTGTTTACCTGTGCTTTTATATACATTGCTTGATCCACTTCTTACAGAAGCTGTGCACCTTCAGTGGAGCAGACCTCAACATCCCTGTCTTATGGATGAGCAAGCAGAGGCTCAGGTTTAAATAAGTTTTCTAAAATCACACAATTGCTAAGGGGCAAAACTGAGTTTAAGCCCAGGTATGTTTTCTCTAAATAAAGATTTCTTTCCACTCCTGGTACAAAAATCTGATTTAGGTATTTTATGTAGTAGGTTGGAATCACCATAACGATTCTCAAACTTGGATGCAGATGAGCATTTCTTTAGAAGGCAGACGTGCTGTGATAAGATGCTGTTGCTCTCCTTTTTCCTAAAGTGTGGAAGAATTCCCAAAGGAGAAATCAAGGAGGCATTTCATTGAGGTGTCGTCTCCTATCACCTCCCACCACTTCAAAAACAAGGGCTAGAAGTTTGACAAGTTTGTTGTTTAATGTACGTGGAAAGGGAAGGATAGCTGCAGACTTGCACAGAATTCAGAACTCAGGCTTTCTCATCACAGAACTTCCCCCAATGCTCCTGCCCTCATCCAGCTTTGCCACTCCCCACACCTGCCACTGCCTCTAGACCCTGTACACTAACCTAAAATAGCTAGTCCTCAGTTTCACCCTCACAAAATCCAGCTAATAATCGCTAACCTACTGTGCTTTGATTTACAACACTCAAAGAATGTAGTTTGAATATTAGACCAAAGGAACCCAAGCAGGTAAACTAGCCTCTAACTTTACAGAGAAAAAAGAAGTCATCTGATAAAAATTCCCAATGCGCCTACAGGCTTACTGTATTTGGTGGTGCATCCTTTCTTCCTTCTCTCTGGATGCAGCAGAAAAGCTGCCATTTTATTTTCTAATGCTCATCATTTGTGTTTCTAACTCTATCTCCTTTGCGTTCTGA